ATACTTTCATGGTATGACTTAGTAATTTGATACCCCTATAATTGTTACAACTCTGGATATCACCTTTGTTCTTATACAATGAACCACCGTACTCCACCTCCACTCAGTCGGCATCCTCTTGGCCTTAAAAATAACATTAAACAACCCAGTCAACCACTCCACACCTGCTCTTCCTACACACTTCCAAAATTCCACTGGAATCTCGTCTGGCCCGGTCGCTCTGCCCCTACTCATCTTACGCATAGCCCCCGCGACCTCCTCGACCTCGATACGCCTGTAGTGCCCAAAGTCACAGTGACTTTTGGAATGCTCCAATTCGCCTAGCACAATATCACGATCCCCTTTTTCATTCAGAAGTTTATAAAAGTAAGTCTGCCATCTCCTCTTAATCTGGGCATCTTCTACCAGTACTCTACCATCTTCATCCTTGATGCATCTCACTTGGTCCAAATCTCGAGCCTTCCTCTCTCTCAACTTGGCCAGCCGAAATAACTTCTTCTCCCTGCCTTTTTTCCCAGTTCCTCGTACATGCGACAATAAGCCGCAGTCTTAGCCTCCGTGACCGACATTTTAGCTTCCTTCCTAGCTACCTTATAACTCTCCATGCACGCTCGCCTATCCTCCTCACCTATGCTCCCAACTAACTTCAGCTATGCCGCCTTCTTCGCTTCCACTTTACCTTGGACCACTTCATTCCACCACCAGTCTCCTTTATGCCCACCAGAGCCACCGGTCGAGACCCCTAACACCTCTCTTGCAGACTCCCTTATGCAGTCTGCTGTCGCTGACCACATAATGTTCGCATCCCCACTGCTCCTCCAAGCTCCCATAGTTGACAACCGGCACTCCAACTCTTGGGCTTTATCCTTAGTCAAGGCTCCCACCTGATTCTTAGTTTTCCCCGAGCAGACCTTTTCCTCTTCTTTAACCTAATACCAACATCTAGCACCAAAAGTCTATGCTGCGACACGAGTGTCTCACTTGGATATTGGAATCACCTTGCAGTCCTTGCACAACCCGCTGTCACACCTCCTGAGAAGGAGATAGTCGATCTGGGTCTCCGCTACCGCATTTTGAGAAGTAATCAAATGCTCTTTCCTTTTTGGAAATCTAGAGTTCGCAATCACCAACCCAAAAGCCTCAGCGAAGTCCAACAGCGATGTACCTCCTCCGTTCCTCTCCCCAAAACCAAAGCCTCCATGCACCTCGCCATAACCACCTGCAGTCACCCCAATTTGACCATTGAATCCCCTCCTATGAATAGCTTCTCTGTAGGCGGAACCTGGTGCACAATCTCATCTAACCCCTCCCAGAAGCGTCGTTTAACCTCCTCATCTAGGCCTGCATGCGGCGCATAGGCACTAACAATGTTCAGGGTGTACTCTCCAACCACCAACTTAATAACCATCAATCTATCATTCATTCGTCTAACCTCAACCACAGACTCTAAGTTCCCTATCCACCAAGATACCCACTCCATTCTTACCTCTCTGGACTCTCGAGTACCAAAGTTCATACCCGTCTGCATCCTTCGCCCTCGACCCTACCTACCTTGTCTCTTGGACACACGCTATATTGACCCTCCTCTTCTGGAGNTAAGGGAAAATCACTAACACACACAAGGCAACAGACCAAGCTAGACAAAGACAGGCTGCAACTAAAGGCGCACTAATACTGTGGATAAACTAATAGGAACTAAGATTGCAACAATTTAACTAACACAATAAAGGGGAAAGACAAACAGGAGGTACCAACTCCCGCAAGTAGAACCTGGGAATTGCCTTGGTATATGCAACGTTGCGTCCACCTATCACGTTCTTGTCCAGCTCACGCCGCCCCTCGTTGACCCTCACCGGGATTGTTCCTTATGTTTGCACACGCACGTACCGCTCACCGCTAATAGCCACAGTCCCTAACCTGAAATACACACAAACACCACGAAGACAAACAATGGGGGTTGTCACTGCTACCACTGGTGAGGCCCCACCCGTAGCAAAGGAGCGCAAAAATGTTGTAATAAAACCTTAAATTGTTTTTTGAGTAAATTAAATAATAAATAAATAAGTAAATAATAGTCAAAAGAAGAATCCGGCGGCACCGGTAACGAGAACGCGTCCAAAATATACAAAAAATAATAATAAAATAACAATACCCAGATGCCAAATTATCTAGGATAATGCAAATATTTTCATCTATACATTCAAAACAAAGGGAATTAGATTCTTACAAGTATATTATTACACTATTAATATACTTGAAGAAATGTGTTTACCTTAGAAGTGAAGTAGCTGAAGAAGCAGAGAAAGGAGAAAGAAACGGGAGGGGCAGATCTGACGAGTTTAGAAGAAAGAGGAGGGGAGGGAGGAAGAGAGAGAAGAGAAGAAGGAGAAAAGATACAGAGAAAGAGAAAGAGAGGAGGACTTACCTGTACCCGGTGAGAGGTCGCCGGATTTACGTCGGCGTGATAATGGTCTCACGACGGTGGAAGACGATATAGTGACAAAGTGATGGGTAAAGAGACGTTAGAGAGAAAAAGTACAAACAGACCTCAGTCGGCCCAAAGCTATACATTACACATGAACATATGAAACGAATAATGGAAGTTAAAATCTTTTTTTTTTTTTGTGGGTGAGGGAAGTGGGTGTGATTAGATAAGCCCACTTGACGACATTAGATCTAATTCTCTTTCCAACATTTTTGGATTGACAGGAAGCTTTCTTGCTGTGTGATTCTGTCCCCCACTCTGCAAGCAGCCTATGTGTCGATCTATACCCAGTTGATCTACCGCTATTTTACTTTGCACGTTCTGGATAGGCTCGCATCCTCATAGAGCAAAGGGTAGAAAAGATCAATGAAAGACTAGAGCGCGAGCTAGCTGATCTACCGACAAGTCCTTGATTTCTTATCCGCGAAGGCAGACTTGGACTCATTTGAAGAAAANCTCCTCTGGAGCAAGGAAAAGCAACTCTGCCTGGTATCGGTAACGATTAACATATTCTTTTTTTTGAGAGAGGGGAACCCTTACTTAAGAACAGAGAGTGGCCGAGCAAAAAAGCAAGGCAAGGGATAAAGGAGAAGTACCCGGCCCGGCAAAGAAGGGTCTCCCATTAACAGGTTTTTCCTTAGTAAGCTAGCTTTGGTTGCTAAGCAAGCCAGGTTCTCTTTCACTCCTGGAATGAGCCTTTTGGCGACTCTCTCTCAACACAAAGAAAGAAGAGATGAAAGGATCTTCAAGTAGCCCTGACTAAGGTTTGAAAAGATTCCCGGGGGTACTACAGCTTGCGTGGAAGGCTAGGGGGGTTTTTAGAAAGCGCGAAGACAGAAGACGTCGTAGGGAACCAATTTCTATCGCTTTCCCCCTCTAGTGGTCATTCATTCTTTTGATGACTCGCAGTCGAAAGAGTTGGTTGGCAGTTCAAACCTCAGAGGGAGTTGAAGAGAGGCCTTTCAGTTCGTTCAAAGGCACTAGGGACGAGCCATTACAGACGGTCTGATGCTTCTGGAGTTCGCTCATATCGAATTGTCCAAAAGCTCATCAACCTGTCCGAGGGATGATGAAGGCGATGCCACAATTGAGGGAACCGCCCTCTTACTCTTTTTTAGATAAGAATGCGAAAGACCCTGACCCTGCCAACCAAGCCCACTCAGATAGACTAAGTAGACTAAAAAAAGTGCACAAGAAAGACTAAGGAAACAAAACCTTTTCTCGATAACGCTGGGCCAAGTAGCGACACTTCACCCAGATTCGATCATCACGTCAACTTGCTTTATTCAACAAAGTGATCAAGCTTCTTAGCCACCGGGGACCGGCCTCGTGAACGCATTCGCTAAAGGCACTACTGGCCGGCTTTCTCAATCTTCAATCTAACTTCAGAAATTGAATAAGCCCACTTGACGAGATTAGATCTAATTCTCTTTCTAACATTTTTGGATTGACAGGAAGCTTTCTTGCTGTGTGATTCTGCCCCCCACTCTGCCAGCAGCCTATGTGTCGATCTATACCCAGTTGATCTACCGCTATTTTACTTTGCACGTTCTGGATAGGCTCGCATCCTCATAGAGCAAANCTCCAGAATACCACAACTTATACCCATCCGCGTTTCTCGCCCTCGATCCGACCCACCTAGTCTCTTGGACACACGCTATATTAATCTTTNGGCCCACTCTTTGCCCCACACTCTGCCCCACCTGAGGACATGCCTTTAATCTATCATCCCAGACCGCCGCCACTACACCTACGACAGATCTACAAAAGACTCGCTAGTGCACAATGGACAACAAATCAAACTAGAAGGAAACAAGTGACTACCTGTACACCTATTGGATGATTTAACTATTGTGATCTAAAGTAACATCAATTTAGCTAAAACCAAAAGGAAAACAGTAGAACGGGAGGTACCAATTCCCGAGAACCATAAATGTAAACTTAAATTGGCCAACTCTTGACTCCTCAATACCCATAGTTGAATTACAGTACTAAGAGTTATTGCTTGACTCTTAACACGTTGTTGAGGAGCATATAACACGTGGGTTATATAATGTTATTTTAAGTTGTTTCAATTGGAGATAAAACACATTTTTTTTTTTGGCAATTTGGTTACATCCCAGACTAGAAAACAATATTGAAGGAATAGTGTTCGAGGAGAATTCTTCTTTACTCATAAGAAGGTATGGTGTACACTCTGATAATATTATCTTTATATAATTTATGGTTTTTTCTTATCAATGTTTGTTTGATTTGTTAGGATGTTGTAATTATTTAGTACCTTAATGTATTTTTATACTCTTAGTACTAGGTTTGCATGCTTCTATAATATGTTAAATTTTCAACATTTGAAATATTTGTAACACATTTTCAACATTTTGAATTCTTTTACTACTTTATTAAATTATGAATAGTTAATTTTTAAAACTTAACAAGGCGTACCATGCATCGGGACGAATGCCATGCCTTGCCCTATATCAGGTAAAACATCTCGCATTGCGCCCCTCTTACACTATTCATATGAAACTAGTTTTATTTGATGTCCTCAGACTTCCAATTTCCTATTTTACAAGAAATCCAAAAGCACTATTTGCAATACTATGGATTGAAAACAATGGAAAGTATGACACTCAAGCCCGCAAAAGTTTTATGAATAAATACAGAATTGCACTTTGATGTTGCAGAAAACAAAGTAATCATCATTTTCTTCAACAGCCGACTTTGATGCTTTCAATGCCAGTGTAGAATCTCTCTTACCGGCTTGTAAAGTTTGATCTTGAGGAAGAAGCCATAGAGGAAAAACCACCTGGTTTTTTTGCAGGAGAAATTTGGCTGGAAAATTTGAAAAATTAAAAAGAAGATTAGAGAATAATAGAATACAGTATGTTGAAGCATCAAAACTGTAAGTAGATCTTTACCTGTGGCTGTGATTTCTTTGCACAGCCTTATTCTTCATAGCTGCGAGATTCTTTACTTCTCGACTGTAAGAAACGGCAGAAACAGAATCAGCTACCTGAATAAAGAGGCCCTTTCAAAGAAGCAGAGCTAATTGAGCAACTCACACAAATACACATACAAGTTACTAGAAATGTTAAACTTCTTAACGCAAAATTTTCCAATCAAACTGCATATAAGCTGAAGACCAAGAAGATACATTCGATACAGGCCCATGAACATAGAGACAGTTGAGGACAAATTTAAGAACACAAACACCAACACTGGGAAAGATATCCAATATGGAGTGGGGGAAAGAGTGCCTATAGTTGCATGAATACAATATCAGAACCATGTGTTCCAAGGAGGCCAAACTTACCTGTTTACAAACTCTATTTTTGCCTTCTTCATCAAGGTACTCTTTGTGTTGCAAAAACTGCTACCAGGTCCACTACCTACAAATTACCTATTTACTCAGGAACAAATAGAGAAGTAACTTATTACCTTGTAAGGTGTATCTTATGACAAAATACCATACATTCTCCAATAAACATTATGTATTGACTTTGACAATGAAAAGGGATCTGAAGAAAACATGAAGCGTACCCCAAAAGCTTCTTTTATTGCTAGAAGGTGGAACCTTTGTGCAAACTCGAACTTGTCGGCTTTGCCGTTCTACAAAGACAAAAGAGACAGTCCGACTATAAGCCAAATATAATGGTAAACTTATACCATATCTCCACTACAACAGAAATAAACTAAGCAAGTTTCAAGAACTAGATATAGTCAGATGTGATCACGACACAACCTATCACCATAATAACCAAATTAAAATTCCTGAGGGGATTTGCTTAAATACTCTTGAGCTGGTACTGAATTTTGTAATTCATTCTTAAAAGTACTAGGAGAGGATGGTAATACTTACTGGGAAAACAAATCAAAGAACAAAGAAAACAGAAGTAAAGCACATACTTGCATCTTCCTTTTGATACAATTCCTTGATTCTTTCGAATGACCTTTGTTGAGTCTCCTCCACTTCTTTTGACTTTGCCTGCAAGTAAATTTTATACCCTTTTGTAAATGTTGAATGATTTGATAACCACAATAAGAAAAAGATACGATCTAATACTAAACATACTGACATACATCAAAATAAAGGAGTAAAAAGTATGGAATGGGAGAACAAGATATGAAACGATAAATCACCTCATACAACAGTTTCCATTTAAATGTTACTTTCTTTTGCTTCATTCTCTCAACCACCTGATTGGTGCTCTTCTCACCGAACTGAATCTGGTAGAACCTCTTCCAAAGTCTATCTGTCACTTGACTGAGATCTCTTCCCTGAAAGAAGAATTCAAAAGTTAAAATTTTTAGCCTGCTCTGTAACACGGCAAGAGGATAACCTAAACATAGAGTTTCTTACTTGTGTCGAATTCTCCACATGTATTAACTGTTCAAGAGAACAGTGAGGCAAAATGCGCTCTAGTAGATGAGAATCTGTTTCACCAACATCCCCTAGGTATCTGACATTATCTATAGCTGTCTGAACACATAAATCTACCAGTGAAGGAACCATACGCCTCATTGTTATACGTTGTTTATGCCGACTAAGTGCTCCAATCTATTCTGGCCAGTTACACCTTCACAGGAAAAGCTAATCAGCAGCAAGAAAAAATTGGCAGAATATAATCCAAATTTAGAAACATTTAGTAGATCCAATAGTAAGCTAGAGTCCAGACAAACAACTACTTCCTGCCTCGAGGCCTCTAACCTTCTGCACTTTTCTTGCTGTACTCCAAAAAATAATTTTTGCACATATATAGTTGAATTTTCTTCTTTCACGTTACAGGTTATGAAAAGTTACGAAACGATGCTTCTGTATATTCCTTACTCCATAATTCCACACATGTTGAAACTTAAGCAACTCTCAGTAATGTAGCACACCTCTGACTCCACTTAAAAAATTATTGCTTTAGGAAATACTAGAAAAGACTCAAAATAGTCCCTCTTTACCAGTTTATTTGATCATATTTCCTTTTTGGTCCGTTCCAAAAAAATGACCCTTCCTATATTTGAAAACAATTTACCTTGAGAAGTTTTTCTAGCCACACAAATGGACACATAAGTTTCAAAAGTTGTCTTTTTTTCTTTCTTTCTTTTTTAAACTCCGTATTTGAGAAGTTGTCTTTTTTTCTTTCTTTCTTTTTTAAACTCCGCATTCAGTCAAATAGTTCACATAATTGACATGGAGAGAGTAAAATTTTCAGAAATTTAGAATTCGTGGATTATACATAAAGCAATGATCTAAGGCGTCGATTAATCCTACAGTAACCGTCCGGAAGATTATAAGTCAACGGTAATTATAATTAACAGATCAAATCAACTGGATCATTGAATTTCACAAAGCTGTAGGCATAACATTGAAGTTGCAATCAAATAAGCGTGAATTAAGCATAAGAACTTCAGGTATATAAATTTACGGATCGAATTATCAAATTATTACTGAAAACAGGAACTAAAAGAGAACTGAAACTCACCGGCACGTATCGGAGCTGAAATTCGGCCGACGGACTCCGACAAAGAAAAATCTGAAATCTGAACTTGGGAAAAAGGAATTTGAATTGCAAATATGATTTTTACAAACTTGTATGCATCGGAGGATTCATGAAAAATACTGAAAATAAAAGAATTGATCGATTGATGGAAGAAGACGAAGACGCCGATGAGAGGTTGTATATCCCCTAAAGTAATATCGAAGGGGTTGGAGCACGTGTTTGTACGCGCTGTGGCTGGCAGGTAAATATGGGGCCTTCGAATTTGGATTGAAAAATTCGGGCCCAAATTAGTAAAAAAGCAGTCTCCAGGTGGGCTTTGGAAGAAAAGAAGCGGACTCCTTGTGTGATTGGCTTACAGTTCGTACGGGATTAGTGAAAATAGCACGGGCTAGCCAATTTTCAGACTAGTAACTAAAAATAGTCAGCATTTTCAAAGTCATTGAAAAATAATCATTATTTTACTGAAACACAAAAAGTTTCAGCATAATATGCTCAATTAGGAGCTCCTGCGTAAAAACTTGCAGCATATTATGTTAGAACTCTAGCGTATGGAAAGTTCTCCTGCGTATAGGAATGGCAAGCGGTGAGGGGCGGCATAGGTGCGAGTATTTGACCAAAAAATATAGATCTTGGTTCAAATAATTAAATTTATAGAAATAAGGGTTAATCTTAGCTAATAATAATATCACTAGACGAAGTTTTTAAAGAAGCAACAAATATTAGGTAGATCTGGTCGAATAATGGCGATAACATGCAATAAATACTTTAGAAACCAGGTATAACAAAATAGCATTTAATGATAAAGAACAACAATAAATGACATTTAAGTAAATAGAGTGAATGAGTCACCCAAGAAAGGAAGGAATAAGTGGATGTTCCTCTGGACAATGATGAATGATAGACAAATCCTTGAATATTCGAGTTATTCTCGAATCTGATGGAAAAGTATGGACAAAAATCTCAGTGAAAAGGTGATGTTTGTATCTTAGCAAGTGAGAGCCTAATCTTTAAGTCAAAGTGTGTTCTTTACAAATGAATATCATAATTCCCCTACCATTGCCTCTTTTCCTATTTATATGGGACATATTCATAAGAAACCTTAATAGCACAACGTGTAGAGAATATTCACTAGAATATTCTATCCTGAAAAATTAGCCGTTACAGCTCTATCAACGCTACTCGACCTCGACCCTTGTTGACACCTCGACTTCGACTCTCGTTGACTCTTCGACTACAGACTTCGCTGCTTCTTGGGCCATCTAGACGAACGACGACTTGAGAACTCTTCCTTTAATACTATCTCGGCTAAAATATTCTAAAGACAGATTTTGACCCATACAGTTAGTCCCTCCGCTTATTGAAGCCGGCTTCTGGCGTGGTCAATGAGTGGATTTTGTTCGTTGTGGTCGAAACAATCGAGCGAGCTATGCAGGTCGTGGTGATTACGACGAACTGGCAATGTGGCCCTACGGGGGCCATGACGAGGCCAATGTGTATTGTAATTTCCTGCTCATACTCTGTCAAATTCTATTATAGTTTAAGATATCGTCCCACAAAGACTGGATAATCTATGCTACAACTTGTATTTTTTTAACTACTATTGAGAGAATCAAATTGATGAAAAGTGAGTGAGGTTTAAAAATTGTTAATTACTTAAACAAAATAAATAACTTTTGGAAGATTTAAAATTTTTAAAAAGAGATGGGAATTATTGAATTCACTTGATAATATTACTATAATAAAATCGCAATTTCTACATTTATTTCTTTAAAGAATAATTGCTTATTTTTAATACAATTATATTTGATCACTAAGAAATAACCAATTAATAACACTCTGTGAGGATTATATTAATTAATCAACTTAAGACTAGTGACGTTTAAACCGAAATATTTTTCTTGCTTGAATTATGCTAAAAGAAAGTAAAAACTTCGTGAGAATATTTTTACTAAGGATCGATAATCTTGCCTACAATAATTCCTCTGTGAGAATTAAAACTGAGGAAAATAACATTACTGACTTGAAATAATAGTCTACTAAAAAATTAGTTTCACTCTACTATTTTATTCATCAGTTATTATATATTAATTTTGCTCCGTGAGAATTACAAACTTAATATAAGTATAACTTAGAGATAAAATATGTAGACATGATAATAGAGTAATTAAAAACTATCATTCCAGTACATTATGAAATGTGAATAAGAAGTTTCAAGCCAAAAATATATAAAAACTGAGATAGTATTATAAAATATATCAAGCTTCATCAACTATCCCAACGAAAAGAGATTACTCCATTATGGAGTAATAAACGCTAAAAAGATATTTAGAAAATTAGAAATATTTTTACTACAAAAAAAGAAGACATGGACTAGTTCTTGTCTTGCAAAGATTAGATATCCTTATACAAAGAGAGCTTGCTATTTATAGGAAAAGATGAGTAGTTTTTGTCATGTTCCACTTTTGCCAATATGAAATCCATGTATGCGAATGTCACGACCCAAATCCATTAAAGGTCGTGATGGCGCCGGACACCTCTGTCAGGCAAGCCAACACTAAATAATTAATTAAATTCTCATTTTTATATTTTGAAACCATAAATTTCCTTCAATTTAACTAGTAAAAAGATGAACTTTGCAGAATAATTAATAATATTTTCAAATATTATACTAAATATTCCATAATAATCCCAGAACCCGGTGGTCATAAGTGCATGAGCATTTACTAGGAATTTAAAAATACAATACAATAACTGTCCGGAATACAAATTTGGACAGAAAAGAAAATACAAGTACTCTGAAGGAGACTCTGCTGGCTGCGGATCGTCTCATAAGATGCAGCTCACCTAAGTCCCCGTATCAACCACGCCACTGCGCCCACAAGGCCACTGAACACATATGTGCATGTACAATAAAATGTACAGTAAATATAATATGAGTATGAAAACAACGCGTACCCAGTAAGTATCCATTCTAACCTCGAAGAATTAGTGACGAGGGGTCGACTTCGACACTTATTAGTGGTCCAATAATATCATGTACAGTAAAGAAGTGAATAAATATGAGACAGAGTAAACATATGAAACAAACAAATATAAAATACGTGGTGCAATTCCTCTCTTTATAATTTTACTCAAGCTCTCAACTAGCAAGTTCCCTCCGTAACCGCGGCAAGTTCCCTCTCTCTCTCTCTCTCTCTCTCTCTCTCTCTCTCTATATATATATATATATATATATATATATATATATATAATGAATTTTATCAAAGAAGTTGTCATGATTCAAATCAAGGAAAAATTCCTCAGATACACTGCTTCTTGCCAAATATTACGCACGATTCCATAAGGATAATATATATAGGAAATGCCGAGGCGTACGGCCTAATCAAATATAAAAGTAAATTGTGCAATGCCGAAGGTCGAACAACGTGAACCATAGATGCATCTATTAACCTGCCGAGGCGATCGACCCGCTCCCATAAGAGTAGTAGAAGGAAATACCCCGTTCGCGAATCATACGTGCGATGCGGTTAAATATAAATTTATTAATAAATCATAATCCTTTTCTTAATTCTTTTCAAAATAAAGATAATTCGACGTGAAACTTATAAGGAAATTTTCCTCGCTCGCGAAACATACATGCGACGCGGTTACACACAGATTTCTTAAGTTATTAAAGTATTCATTAATTCTTTTTAAATTACGAATTTCAAATGAAAAACCTTTAAGTTCCAAACTTTTTCTCACTTTCAACTCCTTTCAAAACATTTGATAAGCTAAGTCAATCTCGCTTCATCTCAAGATAAACAATAAACATAAATTAACAATAATATCAACAAGGCATGGTGTAAGCCTAAAACTACTCGGACATAGGCATAGCTAGTAGCTACGTACGAATTCTCGTCACCTCGTGCGTACGTTGCCCCCACAATTAGAAGCACAGAATAATTTAGTTCACCTATGGAGTTAATTCCCTTTTACAAGGTTAGAAAGGAGACTTACCTCCTCCCAAGGCCTACTTCCAAACTCAAGAATGCGCTCAAACCCTCAAATCAGAGCCGAACGATCCAAAACTATTCAAATAGTATAAAAACTAATCAATATATGCTCAAGAGTTCATATTCTAACTATTAAGGAAATTTTCCAACTCTAAATGCAAGATTCCTAAAATTGACCCTCGGGCCCACATGCCCGAATTCCGAAAATTTTCAAAGAAAGTTGTTACCCATAACCTTAGGAACATAATACATGATTTTCACTAAGTTTCATAATTATTTTCGTCGTAGAATCTCATTTTTATCAAAACCCTAGGTTTTTTTATCTAAACCCATGATTTTCACTAACTTACATGTTATAATCCACTCACAAACTATGTATTTAACTTATATTAAGTAGAAATTACTTACCTCCACAAGCTAGGTGAAAATCCCTCTCAAGAAGCTCCAAAATCGCCCAAGGAGTGAGTGAAAATGTGTAAAAAAAAATGGTCTAAGTCCCGTATTAAATGAACCTCACTGCCTCCAGCTTTTTCGCACCTACGGTGCCTTGGCCGCACTTGCGGTACCGCACCTGCGGAGAGGCCATCACAGGTGAGCATTTTCCCCTACTGGCCAAGCTTCGCACCTGCAAGCTCAAGGGACCGCAGGTGCACCAAAACCTCCGCACCTGTGGTGCCTGGGACTATCCTTCTTTCTTCACGTCTGCGGCTCGTAGCTCGCACCTGCAACTCCACGCGTGCAGGTGCTGTCCCACTTCTGCGGAACTCGACCGCATCTGCGGTCCAAGCCTCCCCCAGCAAAATTCACTTATGCGAGTCCTTTCCCGCACCTACGGGCTCGCACCTGCGGCCCTCTTCACGCTGGTGCGATTACACCAGATGCCTAGCTGCCTCAACCCTTCCTCAAATTCAATTTTCGATCCGTTAACCACCCAGAATCCACCCGAGGCCTCCGGGATCCCGTCCAATCACACCAACCAGTTCCAAAACATAATGTGGACCTACTCGAGGCCTCAAATCTCATCAAACAACGCAAAAATAATGAATTACACTCCAATTCAAGCTTTATGAACTTTAGAACTTCAAACTTCCTCATTCGATGCCGAAACCTATCGAATCACGTCCGATTGACCTCAAATTTTGCACACAAGTCATATTTGACATTACGGACCTACTCCAATTTCCAAAATCATATTTCGACCCCGATATCAAAAAGTCCACTTTCGGTCAAACTT